GTAATAGACAGATGTCAGGGCCAAGGTAGAGGTCGGACGAGCTTGTCCAATCCCACGAACTGGGGCTTTGGTTCCATCCGCAAGGGTAAAAGACGGTAAATGATCAGAATAAGTAAGAGATGTAAAGAGTTCCTTATTACCACAGAGATGATCGGTAGCACCGGAGTCAAATATCCAAGTGTCAAGTGATGTAGAATGAGAAACACAAGCAACAGGATTACCAGTATAAGGCTGAGACTGAGGAGAAGCCTTCCTGAGAGGGGTTTGGAGTGCAGCATAGTTTGAACCTGAACCAAATGATGCATTGTCTGACTGAGCTATATTTGCAACAATAGAAGGAGAGTTAACCTCCGAGAGATCAGGAGATGCTGCTGCCATTTAAAGATAAAATATAAAAGCCGTAAACGAAGGCAAACGATATCCAATCAAGAAGAACCACGCGTCTAAGGTCAGACCCACAGAGAAACAATCACAGATCCAGAAAGGGGAGGAGAAGGCGAGCTTCTCTGTCCAAGACCGGCCGGAAAAAGCCGTCGGAATAGTGCTCACGCGCCGGCAGAAGGTGGCGCGTGAAGCCCACGCGCAGAGAAGACAGGTGGCGCGTGACGGCGCGTGGGAAATGCGTTGCTGACCGGACCACCACAGACCTGGTCGCCGGGAAGAGAGGGTCCTGATCGCGTGAAGTTTGGTCGGAAAAGTCGCCGGAAAAAGTCTCTGGTTGCCTGAACAGTGATTCTGACGGCGGGCGGTGGTTCCGGTGGCCGTCGGAGGTGCTGACACGTTTGGAAAAATCACTCAGAGGTTGTTTACAGCCCTAGAAGGCTTGCCGGAAGGACGCACGGCAAGAAAGAGGACTCCTAAGCAGTGGGCTTAGGTTTTAAAGCAAAAAACAAGGTTTCTAAGCGGAAGCGAGGGTTTCCAGAACGAAAGAGCTCTGATACCAACTTGAATATAAAATAATAGAAGAATAATATGTTGTGTATTGATCTGTGTCAAGGAGTTACAATATATAGAGACCCTAATGGGCTTAAGTGTAAGGCCCAAACCTAATCCAAACCTAATCCTAATACAGTCAGAATACAGTCAGACTATTTACGGATAAGACAGAATCCAATCATATCTAATCAAATCTAATCATATCATATCTAATATTCTAACAATTGGCAAGAGTCGCTCTTTGATGCAGGCATATTTGGATATGCTGCCTTACCCTACTGATGCTACTGCATATCGGAAACAGGTGGAACGTCTCTTTATGGTTGCCACACTTTCTGGCCTTCCCGAAGAATATGATAATGTTCGTGATACTATCTTGACTAGTGGGGAGCCTGATCTATCCATGACGTATCAGCGTCTTCTGAATTTGAATAAGAAATCTGCTCCTGCATCGTCTTCTGTTGTTGATTCTACTGCTCTAGTTTCCCGTACTGATTTTCGCGGGCATATTGGAGGTGGACGTGGTCGTGGTAGAGGCCCAGGAGGCCCAGGAGGACGTAGCCCAGGAGGTCGTGGCCCAGGAGGTCCAGTCGGACGTGGTCAGCGACCTCGTTGTCATTACTGTCAGCAACTTGGTCATTATGAGGAACGCTGCTACACCAAGTATCCTCACATGCGACCTTCTTTTGCTGCTAATGTAGCTCAATCGGATACTGCTTCAAATGGTTCAGTCTCTCTCTCCTCTGAAGAATATGCAGCATTCCAGGCCCTTCTCAGGAAGTCCTCTCCTCAATCACCAGAGGCTCTTCCCATTGCTCAAAGAAAAGGTACACGTACTACTCGTAACCCTTATCCTCTTTATACCTTCTTGAGCTATGATCGCCTTTCTCCTCCTCATTCCACCTTTGTTTCTAGTCTTTCTTCTGTTTCTATTCCTAAGACCACAGGTGCAGCACTTTCCCATCCAGGATGGCGCCAAGCGATGCTTGATGAGATGACCGCACTTTATACCAATGGCACTTGGGACCTTGTTTCTGCTCCTCCAGAGAAGTCTATAGTTGGTTGTCGCTGGGGGTTTACTGTGAAAGTTGGACCTGATGGCCATGTTGATCGTCTCAAGGCACGCCTAGTTGCCAAGGGTTTTACTCAAATCTTTGGCCTTGATTATAGCGATACATTCTCTCCAGTCGCTAAGATGGCGTCCGTCCGCCTATTTCTTGCCCTTGCTGCTGTTCGTCACTGGCCACTCCTTCAACTTGACATCAAAAATGCCTTTCTTCATGGTGATTTACAAGAAGAAGTTTACATGGAGCAACCACCTGGTTTTGTTGCTCAGGGGGAGTCTGGGAAGGTATGTCGTCTTCGAAAATCCTTATATGGTCTCAAGCAGTCTCCTCGAGCATGGTTCAGTCGCTTCAGTTCTGCTGTACAGGCGTTTGGCCTAATTCGCAGTAAAGTTGACCATTCTGAATTCTATAGGATTACATCTCCTAACAAGTGCATCTATTTGTTAGTCTATGTTGATGACATCATCCTCACCGGAAGTGATCAAGACGGAATCCATCAGTTAAAACAACATTTATTCAGTGCATTTCAAACAAAGGACCTTGGGAAGCTGCGTTACTTCTTGGGAATTGAGGTGGCGCAATCTAGACAGGGCATTTCTATCTGTCAAAGGAAGTATGCCTTGGATATCCTAGAGGAGACTGGTATGTTGGGGTGTAAACCAGTTGATACACCCATGGATCCTAATGTTAAGTTATTGCCCAGACAGGGGGAGCCGTTATCTGATCCTGGACGTTATCGAAGGCTGATTGGGAAGCTCAATTATCTTACTGTGACTAGGCCAGATATTTCTTTCGCTGTCAGTACGGCCAGTCAGTTCCTTGATTCCCCTTGTGATTCACATTGGGATGCTGCTGTGAGGATCTTCCAATACATCAAAGGAGCACCAGGAAAAGGTTTGTTGTATTCGGATCAGGGAAATACAGAAATTTGTGGTTACTCAGATGCCGATTGGGCAGGATCACCCTCGGACAGACGCTCTACTTCTGGTTATTGTGTCTTCTTCGGAGGAAACTTAATCTCATGGAAAAGCAAGAAACAACCTGTTGTTTCCCGATCTAGTGCAGAAGTTGAGTATCGTGCAATGGCAAATACTACCTGTGAGTTGATCTGGTTAAAGCAGTTGATTCAGGAGCTTCATCTTTGTGAACAGAAACAACCCATGACACTCATCTGTGATAATCAAACTGCGCTACATATATCCTCTAATCTTGTTTTTCATGAGAGGACCAAACATATAGAGATTGAAAATGAAGCTTCATGAAAATTCTGAAAAACACATGAATTCAATCATCAATCAAACTACTTGTAATTAGAAATGTGCAGAAGCAAAATCTTACCTAGTGCGAAAGATTGCGGAGAAATTTTCAGCAAGGAGAACAGGTGCAGGGGGCAGAGAGAAATTGGTTAGCCCGCCCTAGGTTACAGAGCTTTGTGGGCTTTTGGGCTTCCGTGAAATTTTATATTTGTGAAATTTTGGTTTTATGGGCTTTATTACCTTGACTTCGGTTAGCTAAGGCTAAGTGGGGTGAGTTAGCCCATATATCTAATGCTTAAAAACAGCATGTTGAGGTTATAATTTCTTGATCACTATAAAAAAAAAAAAAAAAAAAAAAGTCAAAAGTCATCTACAGTGAGCTCAAATATATAATAATAAACCATATTTTGATGACACTATATATAATTTCTTTAAGTGCTGTTGTTTATATTAGTAGGCAAAAACAGGATAATTTTATTCCTACTAAAGTCAATCAAGGCTACACTAAAATTTGGCGTAGTTTAGACGATGTACTCGAGTAAATGTGTCTATTTACTCAGACAGATCAAAGACAATTTGGCAGACAAGATACAAGATCATCTACTGTACTCATAACTTAATGGCTCACAATACAGTAGTTAAATGATTATCAGATCAGTCTGAGTGCAAACAATTTACAGTGCTAAGGCTAACAAATGTGTCAATTTATTATCAATTAGGGATGAGTCCAAACTAACTAATCATTCAAAGACAGATATGCAATCAGCCAAGTTAGAAACGTAGTTCACACTATGATGTTGTCAAGTTTAATTCATGGAGCAGCAAGAATGATTTTTAATCCACAACGAGCAATTTAGGACAATAACCAGCCACAATCTGAGATAGTCTACATAAGTTGGTGAAAGTAATTAACAACAATCAAAATCTTGTGTGGGTACTATATTTCGGTACAATACAAATATAAATCAGATAAAAAAATTGACAGTATTATGCAGTACATAAATCATGCTGTCAATGCAGAATATCTTAGGCTACATCCCGGCTTAATTACTACCCTATGTCATTCTTAACACTCAGATACGATGCACCGGGCTGAATAGGTAGAGAATAACAAGAGGACAGAGAAAAAAACAGGTTTTAAGTCAAGAAACTATATGATATATATGATACATGAAACGAAACTAAGCCTCTAAAATAGGTATGCAAGCTACCGAATCTTGAATTCATATACTAGTCAATACCCAAGGCAACTCCTAGAATCCTCACCCAAATAACTAATCACTGGCTTCCTATATAACTTACGAAGAAACCACTACCTTGTACCAGAAACCATGCATCTTTTAGTTGCAAGACAAATACTCATTATTCCAAAGTATAATACCCTTCCTTTTGGCTTATTCCTTTGTAATAACAAATCATAATAGTCCCATAACTTGACAGACCCCTAACACGCACTCTTTTTCCGTCAACAATAGCATACTCATGCATGAGTTATATTTCTGCCCATTGCATCCACAATACGAACCTGACACCCATCACGTTGCACAAATCATCCCCGGCTTCTGTACCTAGAAAATTGTTCTCCAGTCTTAGAGACAAACTATCAAACACCTAGAGGGTTGGTATTAATTTTATGAAGATTGACCAAATAGTATTTAATAGCAATGTGTGGAAAGGGAATGCATCAAATGTCAAGGATGAGAAAAACGAATTGCAAATAGAAACGAAAGAGATTGCATACCTGGGTTTTCGTGGAGATTTGGTTGAAAGTTCAAACAAAAACAATAACTAAAAGGGTTTTGTAAGAAGAATTGGGGTTTATGAATTCTGGATGATAATTTTGGTTCAGTGTCAGTTATTTTGTGGTGAACCGAATTAGTTAAAATATGGGAAAATTAAAATATGAAAAAATGTTTGTCATTTCAAAGAAGAGATAGACAAAAAATATTTTTTTTATTTAAAATTTAAATTAAAAGAAAAACCAACCATTTTTTTCTTCTGCATAATTTTCATTTTGTGTCTATCTCTCTTGAGATGACAAAATTTATGTCATTTAAAATTACAAATACCAATCTCTTACAATATTTGGTTATTTGTATTTGGGTTTGATTTATTTGGTAAGGGTTCAGTTTGGATGACGCAACGGATCAGCCATAATTGAATTTGGTGTGACTGTGTCGGCTTTGGTAAAAATTGATAACAGAGTCGATTAATTGGTGACCTGTCCAATTTATTTAAAAAAAATTCCAAACAAAAATATTTCAAAAAAATCATAATTGACATATTTAAGTTATATGTTACTTAGGGCCTTTTTGATGTGATGTATAAGACCTGATAGTATAAGCTTATATTATACGTTATAGTATTTTCAGTTATTTGGTAGTATAAGCTTATACAGCAGAATCCCTTAATACATCAAAACGATATATAACTTAATCCGGCCTAAGGGGAGGGATTAGGCCTGATAAGGGGTTGATGTATTAATATTGCTTACGAGTACAATTTTCAAGAACTAATATATCATTTCAATATTAATATATTAAAATAACTTTTTTAATATATTAATTTTAAAAATATTGAAATATATTATCTTATACAATATCATACCAAACACTGGATAGGATTAAAATTTAATCCGGTCTTATGCTATCAGGTGTTATATTCTGAAATATGGATATAAGAATGAGAGAAATTAGTTACATTTTGACGAAATATATATTGTCATGTGACGATATTTGATATACTCGCAAACTCTTAGGAGGCGTTTAGTAGAGGAGAAATTTTTTTTACCAAGAAAATACAATTACTAAGAATATAATGGGAAAGTGAGTTTGGTAAAAAAGTTGTATGATAGGTCAAAATTTTACCAAAAAAATTAGGTTAAATTTACTAAATTTATATTTGATTGAAGGTAAAATATTAATAAAAAAAATGAGTTAAAATTACAAAATAACCCTTAATATTTGAATCAGAACTACTGTTTGGAACTTGAATGTTAATTACAAGTACAATTCCCAAGAACTAATATACCATTTCAATATTTATATATTAAATTTTTTTTTAATATATTAATTTTTAAAATTGGAGGATATTATCTTATACAATATCATACCAAATGCTAGATAGTATTAAAATTTAATCAGGTCTCATACAATCAGGTTTTATACTATCAGATCTTATATTATCAGGCCTTATCCTATACTATGCACCAAACATGCCCTTAGAGCATGGCAGTTGCTCTGAACGATATGGCAGTTGCAGTTACATCACTAACCAATAAAACAAAGAAAGAAGATAATTTTTCCGTACATAATGTTTTCCCCAACATGTTTGAAGCTAGAGGAGTTATTCTTTGTTTATCTTGTAGATATTGATGAGTAGCGATAAATTTGAAAACTAAATTTCTTTTAGTTTAAAATAATAAAATGTAAAGTTGAGGATGAATGAGAGAAAGATTGTAAAGTTGTGTGTTAAATGGAACTTCAAGACATATAGCATCAGACAATGACACCAGAGGAACTCTCTCCTCAGCAAGTCTCCGACGAGCCTCCGTCGACAACCTCCTCCCTCTAGTACTCACCACATCAACACAACCAAATTCCTCAACCCGATTCCGCGACAAGGACGAGGAGGAACTATACCACGTTAGAAGTGGGTATCTTAAACAGTGTTTTTTATTCATTTTTTCACACAATCATGAAACGCTGGACAACGAAGTTTGTTAGGAAAATTTTGGAATCTCATTTATAAAAAATGGACAACATAGAAACTCAATCTCAGATGTCTGGACTACTAAAAGTCTGTTTGGATGAGTTTTTTTTTCTTCAAAAGTTGTTTTTTTTCAAGAAAAAAAAAAACACTTCTCATTTTTAGTTCGTTTGGATCTCTTCTTTTAAAAAAAAAGAGAAGTCACAAAAAACAAAAAAACTACTTTTTTTCAGAAGCTAAAAACCAAATTAAAATATGAAAAAATGTTTGTCATTTTAAAGGAGAGATAAACACAAAATATTTTTTTATTTAAAATTTAAATTAAAAGAAAAACCACCCATTTTTTTCTTCTCCATAATTTTCATTCTTTGTGTCTATCTCTCTCTTAAGATTACATAACTTATGTCATTTAAAATTACAAATACCAATCCCTTAAAATATTTGGTTATTTGTATTTGAGTTTGATTTATTTGGTAAGGGTTCTGTTTGGATGACGCAACGGATCAGCCATAATTGAATTTGGTGTGACTGCGTCCGTTTTGGTAAAAATTGATAACAGAGAGTCGATTAATTGGTGACCCGTCCAATTTATTTAAAAAAAATTTCAAACAAAAAAATTCCAAAAAAATCATAATTGACATATTTAAGTTATATGTTACTTAGGGCCTATTTGGTGTGACATATAAGGCATGATAGTATAAGCTTATACTATACGTTATGATATTTTCAGTTGTTTGGTATGACCATCGTATAGTATATACACAGCATAATCCCTTAATACATCAAAACGATGCATAACTTAATCCGGCCTAAGGGTGAGGGATAAGGCCTGATAAGATATTGATGTATTAACATCGTTGACCAATATAATTCTCAAAAATTAATATATTATTTTATTAGATAATCTATTAAAATAAAAAAAAATTCAATATATTAATTTTTAAAATATTGAATATTTTTATTTTTATAAAAAATAATTTATATTTTGGACACACTGATCAATAAACTTTTATAAAAATTAATATCATGTGACATTTTTTGAAGAATTATATAAATTCTTTATTAAAGGATATTTTTATTAAAAATATTTATTTTTATCATATATAGTATTATACAGTGCATTACCAAATACTAGATGATATTATCTTATACAATATATTTTTTTATACAATACCGTGCCAAACGCTGGATAGTATTAAAATTCAATCAGGTCTTATACAATCAAGGTTTATACTAGGTCTTATACTATCAGGTCTTATCCTATACTATACACCAAACATGCCCTTAGGGCCTGTTTGGTGTGATGTATAAGACTTCATAGTATAAGCTTATACTATACGTTATAGCATTTTCAGTTGTTTGGTAGTATAAGCTTATACAGCAGAACCCCTTAATACATTAAAATGATGTATAACTTAATCCGGCATAAGGGGAGGGATTAGGCCTGATAAGGGGTTGATGTATTAATATTACTTTCAAGTACAATTTTCAAGAACTAATATATCATTTCAATATTAATATATTAAAATAATTTTTTTAATATATTAATTTTAAAAAAATTGAAATATATTATCTTATACAATACCATACCAAACGCTGGATAGGATTAAAATTTAATCCGGTCTTATACTATCAGGTCTTATATTCTGAAATATGGATATAAGAATGAGAGAAATGAGTGACATTTTGACGAAATATATATTGTCATGTGACGATATTTGATATACTCGCGAACTCTTAGGAAGCGTTTAGTAGAGGAGAAATTTTTTTTACCAGAAAAATACAATTACTAAGAATATAGTGGAAAAGTGAGTTTGGTAAAAAAGTTGTATGATAGGCCAAAATTTTACCGAAAAAACTAGGTTAAATTTACTAAATTGATATTTGATTGAAGGTAAAATATTAATAGAAAAAAATGAGTTATGTTCTGGAGTGAACATTAATGGTCTAGCAGTATAGCTAGTATTTGTATCTACGGAGCTTATGGTAAAGATGACAGGCAATGAGAAGTCCTGCACCTTAGGCCAAAGTCCGATGGGATGAACAAGGGGTGTGTGTGTGTGAGTCACCTGCGGTGGATAGGATGTGCTTTGGGCACAAGTATGTAGGTGAGTTATGAGATCATCCTCTTTGTTAGCTATAAGGGGTTATATATAGATGAATGCACTATGAGATTGTGCCCCTAGTGGGTAGTTTGCATGTGACTTAATGGCATGATGCAATGCTAGTGGGTGGTTATTGCTAGTAGATGGGAGTTAGGAGAGAATGGTGGAATGAGATGCTCCATCTAGTGGGGATAGGAAGTGGGTACCACATAAGTGGTTCACAACATAAGCCCCCCAGCCTGGCATTGCGCATAGTCGAAATGCTGGGGTAAAAGTAAAGCCCACGTGCCTATCAAAGAATGTTTAGTGTTGTGAAAAAGGATATGAATGCCGGGAAAACCCAGCATGCAAATGCTTCCGAGTTCCAAGTTGCTTTATCGTGTTGCTCGTTGGTTGTAGTCGTCTCCGGGTTTGTAATTGCTTCTGAGTTTGAAGCTGAGCAAAATGTGAGAACCCTATATGATAATGTCTTGCGCGCTGATTAGGATCTTTCAGAATCAAATGTTCTATAATTTTCCTGCTTCCAATTAGGAAAAAGAAGGGTGCCCAAAGGTCTTTTAGTAAACCATTTCTATCCCGGAGGACCGGTCTTCTTTTAATAAACCATTTTTATCCCGGAGGGCCGGTCTTCTTTTGGCGGCAAGGGACTTTTGTTTCCCGCTTCCGAGTAGGAATTGAACGGGTGCCCAAGAGGCCAATTAAGGCGGCAAGGGACTTTGTTTTCCCGTTTCCGAGTAAGAATTGAACGACTGCCCAAGAGGCCAATTAAGGCGGCAAGGGACTTTTATTTGTAGCCGGATTATGATTGTTTCATCCGTGATTTATGATCCTGGTAGATATGTTTCCCCCCCTGAAAAACCTGAAAATGCAACTTGCAAGGAAGATGTCATCAATTGTTAGAGTAAAAAATTCTATAAACAAAAGGAAATGATAGAGTAATTTAAGATACAACTTGTACTGCGCAAGTTGGTCGTTTTCCCAATTTGGGACACTGATGATGGGAACAATTACTAATGAATGCTCTGGATTT